TCCCGGCCCCAGCGGCCTCCCCCGCCGCGGCGGGAAAAGCCCGTGACCTGCGTGAGGGAGAGGTAGCCGGGTCAGGCTTTGTCTTCGGCCGGGAGCGCCGGCTGCGGCCCGTGCCTCGGGTGAGACAACCCGCGTCTGGTTTTCCCAGGAGTCGCCGTCTCCAGCCCAGCTCCTGTCGCTTGCCAGCGAGGTGGCAGGTGCTGAGCGCTCGGCCGGGTTGGGTACCTCAGAGGAGGGGGCGTTTGGAAGAGCGTTAGTCAAAGCGACCGTACCCTGTGCCGTCGGCTGCGTGTTCGTGGCTCGGGGTAGCATCGGAGAGGCCTTCTTCTTCGGGGTGGTGAGGGAGAGGAGCCCAGGCTGGAAGGGAGAGGGAGCGGGGCAGCCTGTGGGGCGGTTTTTTGGCTTTGCTTGGCCGGTCACAGCAGCGTGTGCTCTCGTGGAAGCCTGCCGACGCCCGTCCGCCCTCGTATTTTTACAGGATTTACGATGCCGTTCAAATCGCGCTTTCAGAAATGTGGCAAGTTGGCGCCAAACGTACGGCTCCGGAGCAAAATCCTGCCTCCAAAGAACCACAGGCTCAAGGGAGGTTTTGGAGCTAGAGCTGTACTATGGTGCACCAGGCCTTCTCTTTAATTAAAACGAGCGTGAAAGAAAACGTGGCAGCCTTTCTGTCCGCATAACTGCTGGGTGCGGCTGCTGGCCGGCCTTGGCTCCACGGGCCCCCCAGGGACCCGCAGCACCCACGTCGTTGGCGTATGTGCCATTTTCCTTTCTCTGGGGTGAAGGTAGTTCCCGTGCAGGGCTGGGGTCGGTCCTGGCCCCTGTGCCTGCAGTCGCAACCCAAAGGGCGAGCCCACCGGGCAACCCTCTGCCTTCCCTGGTTGCCAGAGTGGCCGCCGGTCTGAAAGCTGCGTAGCCCTACCTGCACGGCCACAAGCTCAAGCTAATGAAGCCGTCCGTGTCAGCGAAAATTATTTGCCAAACAAAGCTGGTTCTGGCGGGAAAGCTGTTTCCGTACATTGGGAACCTAGAATTCTGAGGGAGGTGGAAGGGGGATGTTGTAGGGCAGAGTAGAGAGGTCTTCAATGTGGCCGTGGCAATTTAAATCTTGATTACTGTGAGCAGCATTTGTCCTGTCATTAAGATCGGCTGTGTATTTTTCAAGTTAGCTTTCTAACTACGTCACTTGATTTGATGGTGCTACAGCACCTTTCGACCTTGATGCGTTTACCATGTGAATTATTATTCATGTCTACGGAAGGAACAAAACGCTGTTATCTGTAAAGCACAGTGCAATCCCGTAATCTCTCTAATTGGAGTTCTGACTGCAGCTTTTTTAAATAGGTCTGATGCTAAACACCTCTGGCGAAAGTTTGCTGAGGAGTTGAACATATTTACAGTGGCAAAACAGTGTGTGTATGTCTCTTCTTTTTCAAATTTCCTTCTGAAGTACTAGGCTGAAATTAGGCAGAAAAATCTGTTTTTATGGAAAACTAAATAACTTCATCGGTTCAATTCGCAATATCATTCAAACTCTCTTTTCTTAATCCTGCTGATCATGATGGTTTTTTAATGTCTTTATGAGGGACTTTTTAAGTTTCAGGGGGGTAAATGAGGCATAGGGAGGTCTGCAGCTTCAGGGAGGGTCAGCAGTTTAGCCCAGAGCCTGCTTTTAAAGCTCTGCCATTCCACTTCTGGTCCCTTGTAGACAAGGGATTTAGTGCCCTGTGCTCTCTTCATCCCCTTGCTCCTTTTCTCCTGGTTGTGCTGTGTCTCTTCCTATGGCTGCATGAACTGGAAGGGGGAGAATAGCAGAGAGCTCAAGGAATGACGGAAGATATTTTTAGCCAGAGTGGAAGTTTAAGTGCCAGAAAGGAAAGACACAGTGAAAAAGCCCTGTCGATACTTAAAGTGCTCTAGCATAAACTGCTGCCTCTTTTTTGTCACGAAGATCTGCTCCTATCTCATGTTGCCTCTGCTGAAAGCTGTGACTTTTGATTATTTTTACAGTCGTAGGTGAAAACTTGCAAAACGTATACTTTTTTCATATATATAGATATATATTTGGTTTTTTTTATATATGAGAGAATCAATATATTCTGAAACTCTGATTCCTTCTTTCTGGCTTTGTAATAAGTGTTGATTAAACCTTATGCTTTCTGTAGTATTGATTCCCCCTGTTCCCAGTTTATTGGATTCATGGCAAATAATTTTTAGATTAGTGGATTTTTAATTTTTTTTTTTAATTCCTATCGAAGGGTGTGTTGTTGTGCACAACTGTTCCTTCTCGGAATAGATATTAGTCTAGCTGAAATGTCAGTGTTTCTTCAATCTGCTGCTGCTTCCATTTTCATCCTCGTTTGTCTCAAGCTGCCAGGAAGGGGAGGGGAAAAAAAAAAAAAAAGGTGTGGCTAGATTGCTGTTAATATTTCTTTACTTCCCAGCTGTAGATGCACGCTTAAAATAGCATGACTCATCTTGTACATCCTTTGATCTCCTATGACTGATTTAAAATGCTGCCTCCCAGCAGGCACATGGTGGTTTTACTTTCATTTGCAACTCTCCTCCTCAAAGTTTCTATTTGCAACTTTGAGAGAAAGTAAGAAAGAGAAAATAAATCAGCCTGGCTG